GCTTCTTAGAATGGAGGTATTTGAAGAAGTAGTTCACTCCAAGCCGTCGTAGAATATCTATGGTTTCAAACACAAATCTTAATGACTAAAGTCACTACCTGCTCGTTTAAAAAGATTCCGATGCGCAACAAAACCCTCAAAGATAATTGCATCATCATAGTGACTCAGAATGTCTAAAGCCACGTCGAATGCTTCAGAGGACACTTTCCCCTGGAAATTTTCGTAAAGCATTTTTCGGCAGTAGTCAAGAGCAGAGTTTAAAATAAGAAAGTCTGCAGCAACGTAAATATCAAGGAAGTTGGACATGTTTAATTCCATGTGTCCGGTATAAAGGTAGTTAAGCAATGTTGAGAATGTAGAGGAAGTGATATTGTGAAGTGTAACCACATCATCAATGACAGAGTCGCGCCGAATTATATTATCGAAGTATTCCGAGGAGGCACACAGGACCTCCAGGTGAACATTAAAAAGGGTACCATCGACGTTAATAACGCAATTGCAAAACATTCCGGCCTTTTGCATTTCCATGAATAGAGAAGATCTTTCAACCATGAAATGAAATTTGTCCTGAGGATCTTGATTGGGCAATTGCGGCAATCTCGATGAACTCATAAGGCTAGTCATGTTCAATAAAATTCGCCGAGATCCAACAATAGTTAGAAAAAAATAGGTATTTAGAAAGCAACCACTACAACAGCGCAAAGTTGGTGATGATCAAATAAAGCGGCGCGAAATTGGCAGAAAGTAAGCAGCAGGTTTACCTTAGCTCTGAATGAATAGATATCAGTGACATCCATTCCAAACAATTGCTTAAAATGTAAGGTGGTAAAATAGCAGCATAATTAAACTTTTCTCAAATAGGTACAAAAGTTTGAATACTGCTGCAAATGTGAACTTACTAATCAGTTTTGGGTTTAGACTTTCTAAAATCAGCTGCATCATTTTTTAATTATACAAAGTAAAAATACAGGTACTCTGTGGACAAAAATATTCCCTTTTTTCATATGCACGTGATCATGGCAGAATGTACCATGAGGGAAGTTAGTCTATAACATCCATTCTTTGTAATTCGGCAACATCAGTTCCAATATTTAATTACAAGGTATTGTGCCATTTTGTTGCTGTAGTGTGGTTTTATCTAAAAGTACACATATTTTCTTCTCTTAGATTCATAGGCGGATTTTAAATTTTAATCGAAGTGCAAGTTAATGATTTTATTTTTTGGCAAACCACTTTTTCAGTCTATGAAATGAATGTGCGCAATGCGTTGAAAATCAGTGCCCAAAGTTAATTGGCTGGAATCTGTCATTTGACTTCTCTAATCTGGATGACCGTTGCTAGTTCTAGGGGCCGTTTGATAGCAGTCATAGGTGATGAGGATACTTGTACAGGCTTTCTTTTGGGAGGCATAGGTGAACTTGACAAGAATCGTCGTCCAAATTTTCTCGCCGTGGACAAAGACACCCCTTTAAGCGACATCGAAAATGCTTTTACATCGTTTCTTACCCGAGATGATATTGCCATAATTCTAATAGTACAAAACGTCGCAGAAATGATTAGATATCTCATCGACGCGCACACAGAGCCGATTCCTGCAGTTTTGGAGATACCGAGTAAGGATAAACCATACGACGCCAACAAAGATTCAATTCTGAAAAGGGCGAAGGGGATGTTCTCAACAGAAGATTTTAGATGAATTCCTTTCCTCTATTACCTTTCTTGCAGGCGCAATGTCTTTGATCTGTGATTAAGTAATAAAGTCGTGAATCATATCATCTTTTTGAATATGCCTTCTCGTTTCCGTCGAATTCCTACTTCAACTACATCTTTTTGTAGGGATGAGTGGTGGCGAATACGAATTACGTGTTGACGCTGGAGAAATCTTGCCTTCTACTGAATCGGAAAGGATTCAGTCCGAAGAGATAATAAATACTATTGTGTCTCAAGCCCTCGATCTCAGTGGGGAGGTTTCGGACCCTGCTTGTTTCAAGGTATTTTAATCTTGTGATTGTGATGAATTGTTGTTTTTGTGAATTTAAAGGAATACTAAATACGTTGGTCCCTTATTTAATGACTCCTGATCTTCTGGGAGACATCGACACGCATTTAGGCAAAAAAATAGGCGTTTCACTATTACGAATTGCCAGAGCCAAAACGAATCGAGTTACCGCTTTTTAGCTGCAGCAAATCATTCAGTCTCAGTCAATGCCTACCATCGCCTCCTATGTCGGGGGGGCCCTAGTTGACTCCTCTGTTAGTCGTTCTGGGAACGCGGCTTTATCGTTTCGAATTATCAAGCGCCTTCAAACCTCTGTATCACCCCCTGTGAATAGTCTTCTCGAGTGCGGGATTTTCGACAAAATCCATGAACACACTTTACGTCTCATCGACAGTGATTTCCTACGAAAAATGGCCGGTATAAAGCCACTCGAAACCTCGGAATCCGGCGACTCTGTCGTTGCTGATAATCGTCCGGTTCTTCTAGTTGAACTACTGCATTTGACTGTAATGTGCATAACGGAGCTGTACAAAACTGAGGATGATCAGGTGAATCTCCCGCCTCTCAACCCCTGTATCGATTTGTGCATTCTTGCAGAGGTCGTACTTCGGGTTCACCTAGATTCGGTGAAGACCGAGGCGTCGAAATCGGAGCCACCATCACCGTCCCAAGTCACCCTCACCACCACTGCCGACGCTATCACCGCTCCTGCCACCTCTCTCCAGTCACCACAGCGTTCCCCTCGGAAGAATGAGTGGAATTGTCTCCTTGACGCCTTTCTCTCAAAACTTAATCAAACTTTGCCCTATTTCAATCTACTGTTTCAGTACTCGGAGGCCTATGTTCTTCCTACCACCTGGGTGTCAACTTCCTGCCTAAATCCTCCTTCTTCTTCCTCCAAGGATAATCAGAGTTTGCTGAAGACGGATTTTATTACTTCCCAGCACCTAGCAACATTAGTAGATAAGGTGCTCTTTCGAGTGAAGCATATGATGATTTTGGACAATGGATTTCCCTCCAAGTGGATTCGTTCCACGGCTATGGACTTACTCCTTGCTGGAGCCTCGTTGTACAACCCCATGTTCGTCTGTGGAGGCGGTGCGAGCGAGTGGCGTGGAGGCTCCGACGATGAGGATGACATTGTGATTGAGGGGGTTACGAGCACTGATAACCCAGAGGTGTTGAGGGACTTTCGCCACTTTCTCGCCTCCACAGGCCAGTCTTAGTTGCACGATTAGTCGCTTCGATCCTCGTCCAACGTGAAACAGCATTTATACCTCTCATCGCTATCGACCCACCCATTTTCGCCAGTTTGCCCAGGACGCACACTCCTCCCTTTTCGACTGTTTCACCCTTCTCAAATTGTTTAAATTGAAGACGTTTGTTTTATATTTATTACAATCTACATCAATTGCGTTGTTTTGTTTGTCACGCTTGAGCTGGCATGATTATTAGTGCATAGGACATCGATCATTCGCCTTTTATTACCCTACTGGTTTGACTTTAATGCAACACTGTTTCACCTCCGACAGCAACCACATAAACATATGGCTAGATGCTATCAGTAGCGTAAATTGAACTGCAAATCATTGTTAGCTATAGGTGTATACTGCTACATCGTGTTAGAGACCATTCTCCGCATCAATTCCAAATTCGAGTTTAAGTTCCTCTTGATTCGGTCCTTCAGCTCGATAGAGTGATGCATGTTTTGTATATTTGACCGTGCTGGCTTTTCCGGTCCATGCGCCATTTCAACTCGCCTTGATCCCAAGTAAGAATGTCAATCGTGTCAAATAGTGAAATACGAAAAAATTGGGGTGGTTGCGAAATCAAAGAACACCAATTTTACTTCATGACTTGCAGACTAAGTGGACATTTTGTCCAATTCCGTTTTCTGTCTGATGGAAACTTGTTAGGAAGTAAGGACATTCAGAAAAAAAAACAGCTAGTTAGGTGCAGACTTACGAATATGCGGGAACATTTCCACAGCACAAAAATCCTGTAAGATCACCAAAATTTTTTATTGGAGTGTTTGTCAATCAAATTTTAGTATCTATCACCTTCTGACAGCCAAAGGGTATGTCTATGTTTACACAAGACCACAATACTGTCTACCTGCGGCAATGACTGAAGTTTTTTTTGAGCTTTGATGTGAAATTGTATCGTTCCCATGACAACTTGCAACTATTTAATTGTTAGTATCCTATCAAGAGTAATGAACTGCCGGAGATTTTGTTGGAAGTACCCAACCAGTCCCTCATTTAGATCACATGAAACGGAGTGATTCTCCAAGTTCCTTGCTCGATTGAAGCAATCTGGGTAGGTATTGTGTTGGAAGGGATGGGACGCCTATCTCCTACACATTTCCGTATATTGGCTGTTAAGCATTCATCTGAGGTCCCTTAATGTCCCCTACCTAATGCTTTATCAGACATCCGCATTCACTTTGTAAAGTGAGGGCAACATAGTACTGGTGAAATGTATCAGTCCAATCCTTCACAGTGTATTTTAGCCAAGAGGGGGATGGGACTACCATCTCTTTATTGTGCGCCCTGAATGTTTTTTTTTAAGGCCCAGTGGAATTGCACATACTTCCACAGCGGATGTTTTTTTTTCTTAGCCGATTAACCGAATCTGATGTAAGCCCCCTTGAAATATCCGTGCGGATGGTTAGGTAATTATCAGGCCCTATAAATCCACCGAAGATCTCTTAAGCCATCCGAGCACACAAATAACTCGGTAATGATACTTTAGTACCTCAAGTCATCCCAGGGGACCCAATGAAGCATGCCTGTAGAGGCCAACGATCGTATTAGGAACATTAGGCCTACGGAATAAATATGGGTCGTGTCACATTCTTAAAGCACCTGCTGCATCCTCTGAACTCAGCGGTTTGGACAAATCGACACCTGTCTTGCAGTCACCATTTCACGATTCTCTCATGACTTCATGCCGCGTTGATGCAAACGCTCCACACCTTATCTTCTGCCACGGCTCCTAGCCATTGCAATCAAGGACGAGTACAAACTATTTTCATCATCGTGGTTAATTTCACTGAGGCATCTGGGGCAATGGCCTAACGCAGGCACCCGTCAAACATACTCATTTGTTATCTGCATAGCCCCTTCTTGATTGTCATCGCCTACGCTACTCCATTTAGTCTACTGCAAGGAATGTTTCATTGGCAGTTCAAAGTACAAGGTGGGAAAATTACAAGCTATTTGACATGGCCTTTAGGTACTGGCTTTAGACCTCGAATCCTCCGTACATCGGCAGCACATATTCTGCCCATGTACTATGACTTCGTTCGCCCTCAGGAAAGATTCGGGGTGCTGCATTGTATCCATACTTGATATTAAAATGGAGAAATGCAAACACCCGATACAACTGGACATAATTTTAAAGGATTTGTTCTGGTAAGGTCAGCTTAGTAACATCTGTGGCGTCTGGGTCTTCCGCGAAGTTGCAATGAGCTAAGGTGGTATGCATGAACAAACATTACTGACGTGCAGGCGAGTCGAGAGGCTATTGGCATGCCCTGAATGCCACGCCGCACAGTAGAACTACGACGAGGGGGAAGCTGAAGTGCCCGTTAAATGAAAGGCCAAATCACTACACGGTATTTAAATATTCAAAAACCCTTCCTACAAAAAATGTGTTAAAATGCCAGGTATCTCGAGGGTGTTTAGTGATGCTTGAGTTGTTTGTTTACTCTCGGGTTTGGTAACGGACCACTGAGGGCTCCGCCATTGTACCTTCGCCGGGCGACGATACATATGCTGCCCGAGTATCATACTTTCTTTCGCCTTCAGGGAAGTTTTGGGGCGCTACACTAGTGGTAGCAGAAAATAAATCCCATCCTAAAGGATATCTATTTTGATTTCTGTTACTAAGCGCAAAAACTTGGCGTGGTGGAAGAAGGGCATATACTGCAGATGGGAGAATCTGTGATGACTCCTAACAGAAGGGCTGAAAATGATATCCAGCTATGGCAACTGCCTCAGTCCCGTGTTCTGCAGGAGTGCTATCAATAACTGAAATGACACTAGCCGTGAACCATATAAAAAACTTCATTACGGGTCTATCTGCCGTACCTGTTTGAGGATGTTAACTAAGTGAGCACGCAATACCTCCTCCACCTCTCAACTAGGTGGTTAAAACCCAGGCAGATGTAACTGAGCTGCACTGAAGTGAGGACAAAGTGGCAAAACTTTGTCTCCACGGGATTGTGTTGAAGCACGTCCTTTAATAACTAACTCTACTTTTAGGCCAATGTTCTTACGATTGACTGTGGATACACGTGATGGTCTGCGCATCCTCCTGTCCTCCAAAACATCTCCCAAACAAAGCGCTCTAGGTGCAGTGGAATTGCTAAGGTGGATCCTTGATACTGCAGTCAGATACCATCTCAGTTGCACGTGAACTTGACTGGCGCGACTGGTTGGCAGATGTTTTACCCACAACACAGACTGTGATGGCTGGCGCGGAAGGCTAAAAAGGAGAGCACTAGGGACGACGATTAAAAAGAAAGAGGGGCTACGTAATACTATGATTGTTTGATAAACTCTTCCTTTTGGCTTTACGAGTGTTTAAGTCTCCGAGATAGTACATCCGGTGGGCGGAATGGCCTGCAGAACATGCCAGTAGCCCTCAGACCTACTCGACCCGAGTATTATGTCTTCTTGGGTCGTCTGAGAAGTCTCAGGGCACTACAGACTACTTTGCGAACTACAAAGGTAACAAAAACATTATTCATTCAAGTTGAAATTGAAGAAATAAGCATTTAGGGCAAGTTGCAGCCAAATTTATATGGTAGAAATCATCATCTTAAGGGCTGGCTTGCCAATCAAGTAAATTTGGAAATAGCGAATTCTATCTCTAGATATTTTAGAGTAAATTATGTTCAAAACGTTGAGAGCGACTGGTATAGCTAACGCCAAAATCGATGGGGGTTTGACTTCTGGAATGCTACTGGCAGAGCACATCATATTGTAATAGGCTCGGTGGCGCCTCTTCTACCTCAGCCTACCTACATATAGAACGAGCAGACGAGCTGGATGGGGAGGACATGCCTTATGGGATAGCAATATCACGGTTTAAGCACATTCAGGATGTTTCCTCCCCGGGGCCCGATGACGTCCTATCCGTCACGAGGTTCGCATTTACTGACCGCCTCTCCTCCACAAGGTACATTCAAGCATGGGTGTATTGCAATGTCTGCGCCTCAGTTGAAGAATAGGGCAAAGTAAGACGAAATTGCATTAAGTATGATATTTGCTAGATAGCAATTCCCACAGTATACACATTGCAATTTATGTTAAATATTACCGCAGAAGTAAAAGCTAGGCTGTCTACTTGCACGTAGCGATCGCCTACTTTTTAATTGTCCACTTAACTACGTGGTCTCTTCGGCACCGACGGTTCATCATTCCGCTCTGGCGCCGCGGCCCATCGATCACGACTGTTGCCAGAAGTAGAGCTTCTGATTTCAAATCCCTTCATGGAGAAGATCAGTTTGTTAAGGACATAACATATTACTGAAGAGTGGGTTGTCATGGACGGCTGAGATTTGTCCACTTTTGCGGGTCGATGGCGTCGACTCAATCACCGGGTTTTTCCAAACTCCCCTGCTTGTTTCCCAAATGGTATATTCAAACAAACATGTGCTGTACTATGCTCCTCCACACTGGAACATTTCACCTCAACACTATATAAGACTCAGCGTGCAGCAAAGGGAAAAGGGATGCTGTTCTTGGCAGTTCAAAACTGACAAAATCTTGACTACTTTGGGAAATTTCTTTTCCATCGGTTTGGAAATAATTTTGTGAAGGTAATGATCGGATTATCACATTTTCGGTTGTCGTAAGCAGGTAGCATATTTTTGGTGATAAATTTATGAGTAATCGAAAAACCCACAGTATTAGCTTTTAAAATAAGTAATTCATGGTATCCAGGACTTCCCATTGGAATGGACACTCCACATCAACACCGCTACATTCACCGACTAGAAAAGTTATCAAAAAACCTGGTGAATTGCATCAAAAAGAGCATTCCATTAAGAACATAAGAACTGTTACAGCCAAATATCGTCCTGTTCTGATAGTTCAATGATTTCAAAATCTGAACTAGTGTAATAATTTGATTGTTCATTTGACTTTTCGCTTTGTTCACGAGGGTACTGAAGGGCACGGTTATTGTATATCTGCCCAGTGATATGGCCAAAAGGCCATGCCAGTGGTCCCTAAGCCCTTTTGTACTCCGATAACTCATATTCTGCCCTTCCATTACGACTTCTTCCGTCTTCAGGGAGGTCACGGGGAGCTACTTATAGGAATGAGGCGTGCCGCGGGCAGGCTACTATTTCACCGCAATGTGGGCTTCATTATCCTGTAATACGATAGTGGTTTATCCCTCGGTACTGATGAGGCACCACTTTTGTGTCTTGAATTAGCCCCTTATACCTCGCAAGGTGGGCTGGCCTTTTGGGCCATGCCAATAGCCCAGACACCTTCTCCGTGCTGAATATGTGTATTCTGCCCGAGTATTGTGTCTTCTTTCGTCTTCAGGGAGTCTCGGGACGCTACAATCCGATAAAATAGCAATGCGCAAATAGAAATCAGCTTCAGATTTCAAACCTGGGGTCTCAAGTCCTCACTAGGTTGTAATGTCACGGTACGTACGGTACCAACGAACGGAGGGGCTGAAAGCTATTATCATGCTCCAAAGACTATACCGTAATATAGAAGTATAGTTTGCAGAAATCCTAGCACCTACGTAGTTCACCACAGTCGAGCATATTACACCACCGCTACGCACATAAATCATCCCCATGAAATGGTGCTCGGATTTCACGGGAAAAGCATGCGCTGTCATTCTATCACGAGGTAGACGTTAATAAATCTGCAACTTTGCTTATTAAATCTTAAAAGTCCTAGCATTATGCGAAGATTGTGCACTTTGTAACTTTCCCTGAGAACTAATTTCCGTCTGTATTCTATGCAGAATATAATTTAAGAAGTGTTCATCCTAGTCATATTTTGCTCACTTTTAACACGAATTATTTCAAGTGCTGCATTTCTTTATTTCTGCATTTCTTTCCGAATAGAGGAAGACTTCTTCGATTTTTATTTTGTTTGTCCTTGCCGAATTAATCAACAAAATTGTAAAAAATTTCAAACCCCATGCATTTGTAGAGGTCAATGAGTCTGTAGTTTAGTATATTTAAGCGAGGCGTTTAATATCGGATTCAAAGTGTTATCATTTCCTAAATACGCTCCATTCTTGCTCTTCAGCTTTAAAAGCCTTGGCACTCCAGTCTTTTGAGAATAGTTTCTGTCTTTCAACGTTTCCACTGAAAGCAATGCTAAACACTGCAGAAAAACCGGGTGGTCCTCAGTCTTTTGAAATCGGAATCAGTGTGGGCGACGGAAATATGAAGTTCACTTCAGAAGACAGCAAGGCGCTTTTGCGACATGACATCGAAATCGCAAAGTCAGAAAGCGACAATCGGCTTTATCTAGCAGTCACATTAAGGAATCAGTTGAAGGTCCTCCTCATAAGTGATCCTCAAACCGATAAGGCGGCAGCCTGTCTGGCCGTTGGAGTCGGCAGTTTTTCTGATCCAGCTGACGTGCCTGGTTTGGCGCATTTCTGTGAACACATGATCCTTCTGGGAAGCCAGAAGTATCCGGGAGAAAACGAGTACTCTAAATTCATAACTTCACACAATGGATACTGCAATGCATTTACTTCTACAACAGAAACTTGTTACGTTTTTGACATTGTTCCTGAATATCTCTATGAAGCACTCGAAAGGTTTTCAGAACTATTCGTTGCACCACTCTTCACGGAATCAGCCACTGAGCGTGAGGTTCGTTTTCATCTCGTTTGCATAGTTTTCATCTTGTTAGTCTTGCATATCAGTCATGTGGCTTTATGTATTCAACGTAAAAAATTGGGGTCTGTAATTGGGATCCTTTTTGACTTACAATAATAGATTATGAAAATAACAAAACCTTCCTTTCTACGTGAGCCGGCTAACAAAAGGACGTTTTGCCTATATCAGGTGTCAAGATTATCTGACTTATATGTGACTTTGTTTAGGTTAATGCTGTTGATTCAGAGCACGAGAAAAATTTGGCCGTCGACAATCGCCGTATCATGCAAATTGATAAAATTATGGCTGCACCAGAGCACGATTATGCTAAATTTACCACCGGTAATAAGGAAACGCTCTTTGACACTCTCAAGGCGAATTCAAGGAACGTTCGTGATGAACTTATTAAGTTTTATGAAAATTTTTACTCCTCCAATATCATGGCTGTGACGATTCTCGGGAAAGGTATAATTTGTTCCATACACTCCGAAATTGTACTCATTAAAATGCCTTTTTAATGCAAGTTGGGCAATACTTGAAATTTGCTTATTACCGACGTAGCGTTAAGTTATGCTTTGGTATCGCTCTTTCGTAAAACAAGTAAAGATTTCGAACAATCGCTTTGCCTCTCATTTTTACAAATTGTCTATTTTGGCTCAAATTTGTTATCCTCATTAGTTATCGTGATTAGAACACCAATATTTTGATGCAAATTGCTTGAAACCCCAGTGACCACTAGATTATGAAAATGTATTTTAAACTCAGGCTTGTACAATGGTCATTTGAATGCTTTGAGTGTCACGATAATCGTGCTGCATAATCATCAGCCGTATAGCAAGTACACATAATGCCTCATCCTTTGCCTCCAAGAATCGTTGGATGAAATGGCGAGTAAATACGCCCCCCTGTTTGAAAACATACCGAACCGAAATGTAATACCGAAGTCATGGATGACCACCCCTTGGACAAAAGAATATTTACAGGTAATTTGAATTTCTCATTTTATTTATGAAGCAGTCGTGTCTTGCGAGCTTCACTAAACTTGTGTTTATCTTTTAAGAAAAAAATATATATAGTTCCTGTCAGAGATTTTCATGAGCTTCGCATTATTTGGCCCATCAAGGACTATACCAAATTCTACAAGTCGGCGGCAAGTCTAGTTTAATTTTTGTCTATATTTTAACTATCTCCTCTTTATGCCCTTTCAAGACTCCCCAGCCGTAATAGTATATTTAGTCGATAACAAATGGTTTAGTCCTACTTACTAACTATATAAGGGAACCTACTTAGGGTATTTGCCGATGTTGACATTCCTGCAAAGCCAATAGCTGATGATAACATTAAGTGGCTTCCTAAAGAATGTAATGTCATCTCAGAAAGTTCAGATTTTTTAGAAGCTAAATCATTGCACTCTAAATGAATTTGCTCGAGATAAATGTACTGGGGCGGCATTAGTTAATGACCACCATAGTTGTGTTTGAAGGCGTCATTCCTGCTAACTACCTTCTCAACTGTTCCCTCCGCCTTTGGGTGTATAAAGCTTGCTGTAAAATAACAGGTAGCGATACTTAGATAAATTAGGAATCATGAGATAGAAAAAGGTCTTAGTTTACCCGTGAATGTGAGGCTCTTGTAAATGAGCACTCTTGGTATTATTCATCCTAACTTATCATGTACGCAGTAACTCGTTCGTCGTATTTTATCCTGGGTTAACAGAGTTTTAGTCCATCTGGTCTGCTAACTTTGATTGAGCAAACCCCTTTCAATTATGCCTGGATATCAATCCAAATGGTTAAATTTCCGCTTTTATTCTTCTTGCTGATAAATTTTCGATGCTTAAAAACTATTTATATCCACCCTTTTTCCCCTCATTTTTAAAAGCCTGGCTTGCTAATTTTCACGCTTACCGCAGTATCACCTATGCATAATTCCTTTTTAAAATAAAAAAAGTTTGGGTGTGATTCATTCTACAATATTTTTGGCATCCAACCATTGCTGTTCATTTACACCTGAAGATGTTTTTTAGTCATAAAAGTCGCGAGGCGACTTATATATGGATGAAAAGGATGGTAGGGAGTCAGAGGCATTGGCTTTGTGAGAATGCCAAGTCGTGAGCAGCGGAAATGATAACAAGCATCTTCTCATGATGTCCTGGTCTTCATTGGTGTTATTTTTGTTCCCCTCATCCAGCCTTGCAGATACCTGACACACCTACTCGGCCATGAATCAGAGGGCAGTCTGTTGAGTGCATTGAAGCGACGCAGTCTCGCGACTGATTTGATGACTGAGACCTATAGACCGGGTTCTGGCTTCGCTTGTGTCATCCTCTATGCCAGTCTCACCGACAGTGGCCTCGGTGCGTCTCTCCCAATTTAGCCTTTGTTTATGTAAACTTACTTCGTGGGTGTTCAGTGTTTACCACGTATCTGCTCGCGCCGCTTGCAGGGTGTTTATTTGCGAAATCGTAGGACAATAGGTCGGTTTATTTGGTGCTTTTGCTATCACGTTGGCTGCTAGCGTCACATAAACGTGACCGATTGAACACATCTGGGCTATGCTAACCGATTTGCCTCCGAGACAGATCCGCGTAGCGAACTCGTCACACACAAGGTGTTCAATCAAACACCACC